CGGGTGCAGATGTGGCACCGTGTGGCAAGCCATGCTGTGGTAGGCGTCCCACACATAAAGCAGAAGATGGGCATGGATGTTAGCTCAGGGCCAGTCTTCCTCAGAAAAAAGAGGAGGATTGGCAGTAGTTAGCGCAGGGCTAATCTCCCTCGGTGGGGGAAAAAAAAGGCTCACATTGAGAAGGATGAGGGGCAGTGGTATCAGTGGCCCCTGGGACTAGGGACTTCAGTGCTACTAGGTATTTTATTCTCACTCTATGAACCCAATTTCTCTCTGTGTTGTCAACTTCTTTGTCTTAGAAAAGCTTTCTTTTCACAGCATGAAATCTGGCCACTGGCAGCTCCTGAGTCCCACATCTCCTGGCCTCATCACCAGAGAATAAATCTCTTTGTCCAGCTTCAGTTACAAAAATGCTAAGGAATAACACTGATTGGCTTGGCTGTAGGTATGAATCCATCCCTTGGCCATTTAACTGTGTCTAGAGAGGTGGAATAGTGTAAAAACATATTCCACACTAAAGCTTCATGATGGTTAATGACAAACCAAAATGATTGATACCAAATGCTTTAGGTTCATATTCCCTGTACTAGTTATCTATTCCTGCATAACAAGTTATCTCCAAACTTAGTGGCTTAAAACAACAACAGATATTTATGATCTCATATAGTCTCTGGTTTGAAGTTTAGGACTGGCTTAGCTGGGTGGTTCTTGCTTATGGTCTCTCCTGAGGTGACAGTGAAGATGCCAGCTGGGTCTGGAGTCATCTGAAGGCTTGACTGGGGCTGGAGGATTCCCTTCCAAGATGGCTCACTCACATCGTGCTCAGTTCCTCTACATTTGGGCGCCTCTGCAGGCAGCTTGAGTGTCCTCATGATATGGTGACTGACTGGCTTCTCCCAGGATAAGCAATCCAAGAAAGTGCAATGGGAAAGCCACAATGTCTTTGAAGCCCAGCCTCAAAAGTCACACTCTATCATTTCTGCAATATCATTTTCATTATTTAGATTAGCTCTATTAAAAGTGGGAGAGGATTACAGAAAAGTGTGAATCCCAGGAGGTGAGAATCACTGGAGGCCATCTTGCAGGCTGTTTTGCAGGCTGCGTACCACATTCCCCAAAATACATGCTATAGAATTAGGATGTTAGAAGTTGTTGTATGAAGAAGAGACTTTGCAGTCAAGTCAGTTTGAGAAAGAATATGTTAAACCAAACTAAACAAGTTTTTTCCTGCAGTGTTTCCATATAGCTTTTAGCACGTTGACATCTGCTTTGAATTCCTGAAAGGGGGATAGAGTAAATAACAGCACAGTTTCTTTCTGATTCTCCAACTTTCCTTCCAGTGGGTCCTTCTCCCTTCCCCCCATCCTTTCCTCCTTCCCTATTAGAGTGCTGCCTGTCACCTATTAAAAATCATTGTCAGAATGCTGCCTGTCTCCTGTTAAAAATGTATGTTTCTGGCAAAGCAGTACATTTTCATTTGGAGTTGCTCATCTTTGACCCTCCAAAGCCTTCCTGTTCATTTGGACAATGTACATCATGAAAACCTAGGAGTGGTTAAAAAGTAAAGGAACACGTTTTCTTGTGGCACGAGTAGTTAGTCTCTGAGGAAGTTCTGCGGGAGTGGTTTATGAGCTCTCTGTATTGGCAATGGTGTTGGGTGATGAGTCATATAGTGACAAATACTGTTTGAAGGCCAGCAACCATTCATACATAAAGGTTTGGGTCGCTTCTTTAAGATATATTTGTTGGTAGAAACACAAGGTACAGGTTAGTAACATCTTGTACTTTGAGTTTTTGCTGACAAATACTGAACTTTTCAGTTTTGCGACCTTGCACACCTCCTCTTGTCTAAGTGGTTTTTTTGTTGCTGTTGTTTCTTTTGTTTCAGTTATTTGTCATGGCAACAACCCAATTTATTTAGAGTGTTTTATTACATTTCTGTAAGCTGGTTACACCACCGTGAATTATTTAACTCAGTCTAAACACTGAGGTGGTATGTATGTGACAGCTCCTACACCATATGTGTTTTTGGAAATGTTCTTATAGAGATGCTTCCAAAGACAGCATCTGCTCTTATGCATCTTTTATAATATTTTGCATCAAGACCATATAATAATTGATCTTCACCATCTGATAATTTTTCATTTAAGACAGTTTCTCCTCTTAGGTTTTTGATAAATAACTTTTAATATTTTAGAGAAAAATAGCATCTGAATTAAAAATAAGAATGACAATAAAAATGTCTTCCCCCGAGATATTTAATTTCTGTTATCCAGTGCGTACTTTTTAGAAAGAGCTGAAGTCTGTGCATTTAGAAGAATAAGGTTTTCTGGATATTTTCTCAAATGGAAAAACCCAAGTTTATTCAACCTGTGTTTCACATGAAAGTCTAGGTCACATAAACGCTGCTGAGAATAAAATTCTCCTATCCATCCTTCTTCTCTGGACTGAAAATATGGGCCTACTCTAGGTTCCTGTTTACGTGCTCTCAGGCATCCTGCCTTCCTGCACAAAATGGAGTTCCACAATGTCCAGTGTTAACTAATGACCTCTTTTAAATTGCAAATCCACCTTAAGATCCTTTGGTTGTCTCTGTGGAGGGAAGACTTAATAAATCCCCAAAGACAACCCTGCAGAGACCTGTACATGCACAGCTACTGATTTCAGAAAACAGTGCATCATGCAATAAGCTAGTGTTCATCTACCTTCTTGAAATAGCACTTGAAGCAATCTATTATTAATAACATTTCCCGAGTTCTCAAAACCAGAAAATTGGCTCTATATAGGGGACCAACTTCTTGATTTGCCTAAACATACATTGGTTCAAATGCAATAAAGGAAGTGCAACCACTTTGACTATAAAATCTGCTGCTTTTAAAACTGGGAGAGGTGCCTAAGGGCCTCCAAATGCTGTGTACCCCGAGGTCTCCCTAGCGTGATGTGCAAACCACTAGCAGAGTGCAAGATGATTTTAGGTGATGTATGGATAAACTTTCAAGAAAATCCTAATGGTTATTTACTTATAGTGGGTTGACTAGTGTCCTTCTCAAATTTCATGTCCACCCAGAAGCTCAGAATGTGACCTTGTTTGGAAATACGGTTTTTGCAGATGTAATTAGTTAGGGATCTGGAGATAAAATAATCTTAGATTTAGGGTGGACCTTGAATCCAATGACCAGTGTTTTTATAAGAGAAAGAAGACGGAGATTTGGACACAGAGACAGGGAGAGAAAGGGCGTGTGAAAATGGAGGTAGAGATTGAAATGATGTGTGTACAAGTCAAAGGACATCATGAAGCTAGGAGAGGGGCATGGAACAGTTTCTCTTCCAGAAGGAACCAACACTAGTGACACCTTTATTTTGAACTTCTGGCCTCCTGAACTGTGAGAAAATCAATTTCTCTTCTTTTAACCCACCCAGTTTATAGTATTTTGTTACAGAGGCCTAGGAAATGAATGCACTTAAAGATTGTTATTCAAAATATACATGTATAAAATGTGTGATTTCACAGTTGTTGCTCTTTAGACTGGTGTTCTCTAATTTATTTAGGTAGCAAAAAGTGTACTGATTTAAAAAAAATTGAGTAAATAATCCCAAAGGAGGTAGGAGGATATTGCAAAACTGATGTGGGTGGCATGTGGGTGGAGGACCAGTTTGGGAACCACTGCTGTTTGCAACCCACAGTCTCCTTCCTCCTGGAGCAGCATTGTGGGAGATCTGGGTCAACTCTTCTCTTCACACCCAGTCAACTCTGTGACTGAGTGAAATACAAATAATGGTCTTGAGAAGCCCCATCTTCCTCAGCAGTAAAATGAGGACAGTAATAAATATCTTAGAGAGCTTTTGTGGGGATTATAAGTTACTTTTCCTTCAGCCTAGAAATACGAAGAGCTTAGTTATCGGAACCAGTTTTGCTGAGTGTTGGGGTTGGGAGCTCCTGGCAGCTGAGCTGATGTACAAAATAACATTTTGTAATCAGTGCCCTCACATATGAGCTGCAGGTGATCAATATATAGGGCTAAGCAATATGGGAAGTGAGTTGTGGTAAAGCAGTAGGAACTGGTGCAAATAGCTCTTGGTGAGTCACAGCTGAAGTCAACTTTCTATTATTTCTGGGTCTTATTATGCATTTTATGAGTTATGGTGGCCTTTATTTCTCCCTCTTTTCAACCCTATCTTCTTGGAGTTCATAAAAGTGAGGAAAAGAACTCTAGATGTAATCTGACATATCTTAGATGTAGGAAAGTATGTACTTAAGAAAGTTTAAAGAAATTTTGTAAATTTGATGTGGATCCCTGGAGATACTCTAGGATAGTTTCCTAGGCAGACTTGGCTGGTACCAGCAAGGTGTCCTGGAGTGGGAATGATACAGCTAACATCTATTGTGTACTGGCCTATGGGTAGGCACTGTGTTAAATGCTATCTCATTTAATCAGCCCCAAAATCTCTGAGGTAGGTATTGCTATTAAAATTATTTTACAGATGGGAAAACTGGGCTTGGAGAAGTTAAGTAACTTGTCCCAATTCTTATAAATAGAGATTAAGTAACTTTTTCCAGATCGTCAAACAAGGCAGTCTGCACTTAGAGCTTGCACTCCTAACCTCTTTATTATGCTGTGTAAAGCCTTAAAAAATGTAGAAATACAGGAAGGGGAAGAACACCCCTAAATGGTGCAAAAGAAAGAACTTGGTCTTTGGAGTCAGGAAAGTCTTATTACAACCTTGGTTCTGCCACTTAGAAATTATTTGACCTCAGGCAAGCTGCTTGAACTCTGTGAACCTCAGATTTCCCATCTGTGAAAATAATTTATTTTAGGGCCACTTTTAGGGTCAGAGTAGATGTATCTGCCTGGTTCTCAATTTCAGACACCCTCTAAACATGAATGAGTTCAAATCATATTCACTCCTAAGCTATCATGCCCAAGAATAGTACAGAATGCGGGGTATGCCAATACCTAAGGTACAAAATTTAACCATTAGGTCTATCATACTTTTAGGAGCTCTGTCTTGTAGTTCGTTACTACACATCTAGTAGATAGTTCTCTGAGTAAAGCGAAAACCACAAGGTTACTCTGTGAGGCATTTCCAACAATGTGAGTCTACAGGAAAAGCTCCATGGGGATAGACCTCAACTATTGGGTTGTTTTTTGTTGATTGATAGGTTCTTTATATGCATATATATGTATATAAAATATTCCACTGTATTAGATAATTCAGATAAAATGCGATATATATTTATGTATACATAGGAAAATAAAATGAGGTGTAAAGTTTTGGTATATCAGTTGCAAATATTTACTGTCATATTTCATTTGCTTTTTGAATTTGTTTATATGTCTTCTACCATACACACAATATATATCTGAATTTTATGTTTTGTCAAAATAGCTTTCTCCCCTGCAAGATTATAAATATTTTTTCCCATTTTTTCTTTTATCTTTTAAAAATTTTACATTTTAAGTATAACTGGAATGTATTTTTAAGTATGATGTGAGGAAGGCATTTAATTTTACTTTTTCCCAAATGGATAGCTCCTTGTCCAAACACCATTTATTAAATAGTCTGTCATTTCCTGACTGATTTTAAAGGCCTCATTTATCATATACTAAGATTATATGTATATATATATTTTTCTGGGCTTTTAATTTTGTTCTGGTAATCTATTTGCCTGTTTTTCACAATACCACATTATTTCAATTATTGTGACTTTATAGTACATTTTGGTAGAGTGAGAGTCCTTTTTCTTGTTCTTTTTCTAAAAATCTTGACTTTTTTTGACACTTCTCATCGATGAACTTTAGAATTAATTCACCAATTCTATAAAACATCCTGTTGGAATTTTGATTAAAATTGCATCACATTTATTATTTAATTTGGGGAACATTAATATCTGTGCAATATTGAACCTTTTTATCTACGAGTATCTTTTATGGCCTTCATTAAAATTATATGGTTATCTTCAATAAATTTCATACTTTTAAGTTTTTCCTAGGTGATTCAAGGTTTCACTGGAATAGAATATAGCTTTCTCCTCTTATGTTTTCAAATTAGCTTTGCTGATTATAGAAAAGCTGTAGATTTTTATATGTTAATCTTGTTTCTACCTTTCCAAAAATTTTAATTAGTCCATATGGATATTTTGTGGATTGCCTTGGATTTTCTAGGTATATGCCTATCTTGCCAATATTCATATTTATTTCTTTTTTCTGATCGTCTTGTATTGACCAGTAACTCTAGGACAAAATTATTGACCACAAATATAGGCATTATTATATCTTGTTCCTGACTTTTATGGAGATGTGGCCTAATATTTTACTTTTCAGAATATTTGGAATTGGCAGAATGTTGATAATTATTGGAGCTGAGCGATAGGTACATAGAGCTCATTAATCTTTTCTGTATGTTTATGTGTGTTTGAAAATTTCCATAATAAAGAGTTAAATAAAAAAAATAGAGTTAAATAAAAAAAAAGAACAAGATGTTTTAGGTTTGTGGTGGAAATCCTTTTTCAAATTAAGGAAGTGTCTTTTTCCCCTAGCTTATTGTAAATTTTTTATTTGGGATGGGTATAGAATTAAATGTGTCTTCAAAAAAATTTTTTTTGAAAGAAAAACTGTAACAAGGTCCACCTGTCTCAAAAGACCAAAGAAAAAGGTATGAGAATCTTAATATAAAACATTGAGGGGCCGGCTCTGTGGCAGAGTGGTTAAGTTTGCGCGCTCTGCTGCTCCAGGGTTTGGATCCTGGGCGCGGACATGGCATCACTCGTCAGGCCACGCTGAGACGGCGTCCCACATCCCACAACTAGAAGGACCTGCAACTAAGATATACAGCTGTGTATAGGGGGGATTTGGGGAGCTAAAGCAGAAAAAAAAAAAGAAAGATTGGCAACAGTTGTTAGCCCAGGTGCCAATCCTTAAAAAAAAAAAGGAAGATTGGCAACAGTTGTTAGCCCAGGTGCCAATCTTAAAAAAAAAAAACATTGAAAACTTGTTCACCTAATATTTAGGTTGGTTTCTCTCTCTTTTCATTGACAGCTTTCAATAAGAGTAAAAGTACCTCTAGGGCCTAGAACATTGATGAAAACACAGAAGGGACTAAATAAATAATGTATCATTGTTAGAGACTTTTGGGGGGAGAGAGGTAAAGGTCATGGAAGCTATATCGCACCACCCAGATCTCTCCAGGACTGAAGGACTTATCCCCCCAGCTGCTGCGATTATAGTTGGCTGACACTTTCCAGCTGCCGACCCTTTCCAGAACTTACCCGTGGCTGAAGAGAACTGCCTTGCTCAAGCTTCTACCCCCTTCCCAGGAGCAGTTGCATCCAACGACTGGCCTATGTGGGGCTGTAAAATCCCAGCACCCTTGCCCAACCCAGGACAGGTTGAGAGGGCTCTCCCAGCTTCAAGAGCTCCCTGTGGGGGGCAGAGGTCTTAGAGTTGCCAGATAAACTAAATACAGGATGCCCAGTTAAATTTGACTTATAGATAAACAACAAATAATTTTTTAGAACCAGCATGTCTTAAATGTTGCATGGGACATATTGCTGCTAAAATTCTTTTTGCTGTTTATCTGAAATTCAAATTTAAATGGGCATCCTGTATGATTATTTGCTAAATCTGGCAGTCCTTTGAGGCCTTGCAGCCTAACTTCTTCTCCTGTAATCCTGCTTCTTTCCCTTACTCCACAGGTGTTGATTCTAGGAACTCACCCTAACCAACTTCCTGCATGCTAACCTCAATCTCAGAGTCTGCTTTCTGGGTGACAAGCTTGCAGTAGAGTGAAATTCGAAATAAACACCTTTCTTTGCCCTGCCCAAATGTTAGAACCAATTGAGAGATTGGCACATGGGTCCAGTAGACAGAGATCTCATTAGATTGATTATTGAAGAGCTAAGCCTGGAGACCATGGCTTGTCTGAGAGCCTAACAGGTTTCCTAATATGTCATTCCTAATTGAATTTACTCAGTTTGCCCCACTAAGCCTACTTTATAGCTGTTTCTATTACCTATTCTTCCTTTCCTGGGGAGGAGTGAATAAGGAGGTGGGCAAGAAGCTAGGACTGTTACTTTTGTGACGGCCCCACTGCATGAAGAGATGAAGTCAGAGGAAAGGTCTTCCACTAAAAACTGCTTTGTATAGGATAAAAGCAGCCCTGTTCAAATGGCCTAAATGACCACATATGTTGTTAGTGCTGTCCAGTCAATTCCAACTCCTAGCGCCCCTGGGTACAGCAGAGAAGAACCCTGCCTGGACTTTTTGCACCATCCTCTCACCTTCCGGCGCTATATCAGACAATACTTTGCTGCTACTTAAAGGGTTTTCATGGTCAATTTTTCAGAAGTGGGTGGCCAGGACCTTCTTCCTAGTCTGTCTTAGTCTGAAAGCTCCCCTGAAACCTGTCCACTGTGAGTGACCCTGCTGGTATTTGAAATACTAGTGGCCAGGAAACGAACCTGGGCTGCTGTGGTGAGAGTGCTGAATCTTAACCACTAGACCACCAGGGTTGGCAATCATAGATGAACCTGATGCAAAATAGGCTGGGACCTTTTGAAAGTATGGGTTCTGTCTCCTTTTCCTCCTCTGTCTCTTCTCCTGTAAGTGAAGGATTCCCTCAGGACTTAGGCTTGTCTGTCTTCTCCATCTATGTGATCTGCTCTGTCAGGTTATCTAGTCTAACATAATGCTTTTATGGGCATGACCTTCAAATCAACATTTGCCTTGACCTCTTTCCTGAGCTTCGGTTCTTTCCAGCAGTTTCGTCCTCTATACCTTGATTTTCTGAAAGTACCCTAAGTACAGTATTCCCTGATTTAGTCACACCCTTTTGCTTGGGTGTGAACAAAATTCTCATTCAACTTGCCAAGCAATGAGGGGTATGTTGTGGGGAGAACACAAATAGGCACCTGGGGAAAGTAAACATCAAGGCTTCAGGAAGAGCAGGGACTGGAGGATGGGACAAGACTCAAATGGCCTTTGTTTTAAATTCTCAAAGAACCTACTTCTTGAGTGCTTACTATGTGCGGGCAAGGAAGGAATCCCAAAATACCCAGTAAGAGACCTCAGCTGCGGCTGGTGGTAGATTTCTACTCTAGTGCTTTACTATCAATGGCACTCACTTTCTGCGTGTCTTGCTTCCTTCTATCTTAAGTGCTGGCTTCAGTTTTCCCTCTTTCTCACAGCTTTTGCTTCTTCATTTTACTTATGCTTTATGGTTTTCTCAAGTTCATGACCCTTCTTGGCACCTACAGTTAACAGTCTTATTTCCTTGTTTTTTTTTTTTTTTTTTCTTTCTCTCTCTGGATTCCGGAGGCAAGTAATCTGATTGGCTGTGCTCAGGTTTTTGAGCCAGGGCAGCTCATAGGCCCCTGGATGACCTATAGGTTGGCTGCCTTTGGGTCAGATGTCTACACTGCGCCAACCAGTTGTGGCTGGAGGGATTATGTGGTCCCTGAGAACTGCCCGTTTACCACTTAAGCAGGGCCCATGGCAGGACAGGCACAATGACCAGCATGGCCAGGATCATCCTAAAGTTCAATCACTTCTCTTTTGTTAAAGGAACAATCTTCTTGTCTTCCAGTTAGATGGCAAACCCTAGTCTCATATTTGAATCCACTTTTCCTCTTGATTTCCAATTCCTGCTTGCCACATCGTATTGATTCTGTCTTTGTAGACCATCAGTTAGCTTGGGCTTCTATAACAAAATACCGTAGACTGGATGGCTTAAACATTCTCATGATTCTGGAGGCTGGGAATTCCAAGATCAAGGTGCCAGCATGGTCAGGTCCTGATGAGGGTTCTCTTCCTGGCTTGTACACAGACACTTTCTCACTGTGTCCTCACATGGCAGAGAGAGAGAGCAAGTTCTCTGGTGTCTCTTCTTATAAAGGTACTAATCACATCAAGAGGGCCCCACTCTAATCCTAATTACCTCCCAAAGGTCCTATCTCTGATACCATCACAGTGGGGGTTAGGGCTTCAATATATGAATTTTGCGGGGGACACAAACATTCAGTCTATAATATAGGCTAAAACCTGTTCCCTTTTCTCCATTCTCACTGCCTCTGTTCAATCCAGGAACTCGTTATCTCTTTATTAGACCCTTACAATAACTTCCTAACTTATTTTTCC